CTGGGCGTACTCGTTCTCACCAGCGTGCTGTATGCCGGATTTATAGTCAGTTGGACGCTTCAGAGTCCGGTGGCCACAAGGCAAAACGGCACAAGGGCAGAACTGGAGAGCAACAATGAGAGCGAGGCATACGACAACAAGTTGCGTCGAGGCAGGCCTTCATCAACCCAGAGAAAGAAGCTATTCAGCGACAATGTGCCTCAAGATGTCGTCATGGACTTACCTTCCAACTCGTCAAAGGTTCGCCGTCTAAAGTGTTTGGGATGGAGAGCAATAGCGGAATGCAGACTAAATGGGAGTCGTCTACCTCAATACGACCGGGACTGTAACAGCACGATCTCGGATGGCACACCGGGATACTGTGAGGTTGAGGACCTGGACTCCAACGAGAGATTCATGGTCATGAAGCGCACATGCGATAAAGGACACAAGGATACTGTGTTTCAGTGTATTCATGCACCAGGATTCGCGAACTTCCGAGCACAAGCACAACAAGTCATGGATAAGGCCCTTGTACCGGAATACACGCTACCCAACATGGATGATAGGTCTACGAGTCCGTCGCAGGGAATCGTCATGGTAGTTTATCCGAAGCTGGTGGCCAGTGTATATGCTACTGTTCGAGTACTCCGTGAGGTGCTACATTGTAAACTGCCAATCGAGATCTGGCTACGATCCGATGAAATGAACAAAGTACCAGGAGCTCTCGAACCGCTCTTGGATCTGGAGAGGAACAAGTCGGCGGGACAAATTACGTTCCAGGCGATCCGCCACCGACAAGCATTGCAATTCAATTCGAAGGTCTACGCCATCTTCAACAGCAAGTTCCAGCAGGTTTTGTTCTTGGACGCCGACAATGCTCCAGTCAAAGACCCCAGCTACTTGTTTAAGACACCAGAGTTTGAAAAGTCTGGTGCTGTCTTCTGGCCTGACTTCTGGCACCCTGGACAAACGATCTTCGGTATTAACCAGACCTCGCTCGTTTGGCAACTACTGGACATGTCATTCGTCGATATGTTCGAACAGGAGAGTGGTCAGATACTTGTCGACCGAAAGCGGCACGCAGCTCCCCTCGCACTAGTACTCTTCTATGCGTTTCACTTACCCAACTACTTCAATCGACTCAAGCTCGCATGGGGCGACAAGGATTTATTCCGCTTTGCGTGGTTGAAACTTGGTGCAGATTTTCACATGATCGAAAAACTTCCTGCCGTCGCTGGAGAGGTGACTGGAGAAGTGTTTTGCGGGATGACAATGGCACAGCACGATCCCAGAGGAGACGTAATCTTCTTGCACCGCAATCAGCTCAAGCTGACAGGGAATCCCAAGGTTGAGAACTTCGATCCTCGTCTTAAAAGAGTTTTTGGAAATGTTCAATTCTCTCAACGTGTTATCAGCGAGGATGGGTATCCAGATCCGGCGATATGGACACACTTGGTTTCCTTTCGCGAGGACTCTCCTCGGACTGAGTATATTATCCAGAAGCACGGCGCCATGAACAAATTTACAGGAATGCAGCGATGTTTTGGAGGGCGTGGGCTCCACAAGAATCCACACTTTTACACGCAAGAATTTGCTGATCTCAATTTCGCCGGGTTAGAATTACGCCTTCGGGAATTTGCTATGAACGGAGCTGAGCTCCAACAGAAGAAGATAAACTCTGCAACGTAGGATAGTGTATGTGTACATGAATTGTTGCGTGAAAAACCAAACACTAATTAAACGTTGACGACTGGTTCTATTTGTACGTCTCGCAATGTTGTAGCGAGCCCAGAACACCCATGGCGATGCCGAGAAAGTGAAGACGGCGACGCAACAGATTCTGCGAAAAATAATCTGGTAATGGTGTCGCTCCCATTCCAACCAGACACTCGGTATTGAACTTTTTGCCTGGGTACGCCGCCTTGTCGACTTGTCTTCGCTGTTGACGAGGCGTCATATGAGTTGGAACAGTATTGAACAAATTGTTCTGCTTTGCCTTCTGGATAAATTTGATGCCTTGAGGATACGGGTCGATCAGCGCCTTGCCGTTCATGTACAGAATTTCTGGCTCCTCACTGCCATTGTCCTGAACTGGCATATACTGCAGGATACTACCGCAAAGTGAGTCAGGGTGGTTCTTCATGTCTTCATTCGGCATCGAATTCACCACGCTAACACCCCATGGCGAGAAGAAGTACGGCGCACGTGCCACCTCGAATGCTAACCAAAAAGTCTCCTTATCTCCCCATGAATACGTGAAACGAAAGCGTTCCTTCGTGATAAACCAAAACAAAATGTCCATGACAGTCTTCCCTGCACGTTTCTTGTCGATCAACACCATTGATGAATCCATCTCATGAATAGACTTGCCTCGGTAGGCAAAGGTATTGAGCATGTGCTCAGAGGGAGCGAATCCCTCGGATACGTTGTATCTGGCATAGTCAAAGTCATGGAGCAGTTTGTGCACGTACATTTTCCCAGTATCGTTGCCAGTCAGAAATTTCCTTAGTGTGATGACTCGGTCGTAGAAGAACGTGGTGCCAGTCTTCACGTATCCATCAAGACTGCGCACAATTGCAGGATCTTTTAAGATGACATCATCCACGTCCAGCAGCATTACATGGCGAACATCCGTGTGGTACATTGCAAGCGGCTTGATCCACCAGCTCCGAAACTTTGACGCCATTTCTGTCGATATGACACCGCGAGACGAAAGATCAGAACAAACATCCACGAGTTCCACGCGGTTGTCCAGACTGAACAAGAGTTCCACCGATCGATCTGAGAGCTCTTTTCCGCAGTGATACACTTGAATGAGTTCTCGGTTGCCAAGACAGCGTAGCTCTCTAATGAGTGACAGTCCCATGTTCAGCATCGCATCGTGAAGGCACACCATGGCCGCGCGCTCACGGCTCACACTCCTGTCGAAGGTCTTCCCACGCCTGTAGAACGATGATGTCGGATGTGCTGCGGCCGCGACGCTGTCTTCGAATGCAGCCGTGTCCATCTTCCAGTCTAGATGCGAATGGTTGTACGGAGTGGCTCCCAAGCTGTTACTGAGACCAACCGACGCATTATTGGCGAGTCTTGTGTTGACGTAGATGGTTGTGGCGAGGATGCTCGCCACCGCCACCAGTAGCAACAACGGCCGCCTCGCGCTTGGGGAGGAAGGGGGCTGTGTGAGAGGGTTCTTTGCTGTCATCTGCGCGGAACTCGC